TATGGCGAAGGAATTCTTGAAGGGATTTGCAGTTTGCTTTCATTTCACTCAGGGATCAGGCTAGAATTCTGCTCCGGCTGCTTTTGCACATTACTGGTGGTCGGCCGGTGAATGCTGAAGCTCCGAGATCTCCTGGGAAAGCTTTCCAGCTGACTGCAGAGGAGGTCCGTGCAACACCTGATGTTGTTGCCAGTACGTATCTCCTTATTTATGTTATTTTGAGATTTGTTTATGCTTATACTATGTTGTATATAGGTACTTTTCTTGTGAGTTTTGTGCCTACTTTGGTGTTATTTGACGCGGGTGCGAGTCGATCTTTCATTTCTTTGTCCTTTAGTCGTCACATTAGTATCAGATGCGAGGCATTGAGTCGACCACTGAGGGTTTCTATAGCTGATGACCATGCATTTTTTTTCCACTGATGTATTCTAGGGATGTGTATTAGAGATTTTTCAGAGTTGTGTTTCTGATAGATCTGGTGCCGATAGCGATGAGTGATGTTTGTGTCATAGTGGGCATGGATTGGTTAAGCCCTTTTGGAGCTATGATTGACTGTGAAGATCAGATGGTGACAATACGAGACCCTAGTAGGGGAATAATTTTTGTGTGTGGAGAGGGGACCCGATCTGGATCAGCTTTCTGCTCTGCCGCCAGGGCGAGGTAGAGTCTACAGTAGGGGTGCATGGGCTTTTTAGCATATGTGATGGATATGAGAGTTGCCACTTAGAGGCCAATTTCTATCTCTGATGTTTCAGTAGTGTGTAAGTTTCCGGTTGTTTTCCTTGAGAAATTGTCGGGTGTCCCTCCCGAGAGGTAGGTGGAGTTCTGGATCGATTTGATTTCAGGTCCGGTGCTTATTTCCATAGCACCTTATTTCCTTGCCCCGCCCAAGATGCAGGAGTTATCGTTGCAGCTCCAGGAGCTACTAGATAAGGGTGTTATTATACCAAGTAGCTCACCATGGGTAGCATCGATCCTTTTTTTCAAGAATAAGGATGGTTCACATGGATGTGCATCGACTATCGGGAGTTGAACAAGCTGACAGTCAAGAACCGTTATCCACCATCGAGGATTGACGATTTATTCGATCAGTTGCACGAGGAGTCTTGGTTTTCCGAGATTGATTTGAGATCTGGGTATCATCAGATGAGAGTTTTCGAAGAGGATATCTAAAAGACAACCTTTAGGACTCGTTATGGGCACTACAAGTTTGTGGTGATGCCTTTCGGGCTTACCAATGCATCGACAGCGTTCATAGACCTCATGAACCGGGTATACAGGCCCATGTTGGACTGGTCAGTGATCGTGTTCATCGACAACATTATGGTATACTCGAGGTCTAGGGAACAGCACGAGGAGCATCTTCGGGAGATTCATTGAGTACTGAGGATGGAGAGGCTTTATGCCAAATTCTCCAAGTATGATTTCTGGTTACAAGAGGTCCAGTTCTTGGGACACTTCGTTAACCATAATGGGATTTTAGTTGACCCGGCCAAGATTAAGTATTCATGCGATGCAAGGTGCCAAGATCCCCATTCAAGATCAAGTGTTTTCTAGGCTTGGCAGACTACTATCGGAGGTTTATCAGGGATTTCTCCACAATTTTAATTCCTCTCACCAGATTAACTAAGAAGGGTGTTACTTTTGTTTGGGGGTCCGAGCAATAGGTTTCATTCGAGACCCTTAGCAAGAGATTGTGCAAAGCTCCAGTATTAGCCCTCCATGAGGGAGTGGAGAACTCCGTGGTCTATTGTGATGCATCTATATTAGGGATGGGTTTCATGTTGATGGAAAGGGGAGAAGTGATAGCATATGCATCGAGGCAGCTTAAAAGAGAGCGGGTGATCGGGCAGGTTTCTGAGTTTGAGACAGATAGGCGGGGGCTTATAACCTTCTGTGGGTGGATATGGGTGCCATATACAGGTGGAGCTCGATGTATTTTGATGGAGGAGGCCCATAGGTTGAGATTCTTGATCCATCCGGGGCCACAAAGATGTATTTGGACTTGAGGACAAATTATTGATGGCCCTGTATGAAGAGAGTTGTGGCATGGGTAGTCGAGAGATGCTTGACCTGTTGCTAGGTCAAGGTAGCGCACCAGCGTCCTCATGGCCAGTTGAAAGCCTTTAGAGATTCCACTGTGGAGGTGTGAAAAGATTTCCATGGATTTTATTACAAAATTACCAACGACCGCGAGAGGTGTCAATGCGATATGGGTGATTGTAGATCGGTTGATGAAGAGTGATCACTTTCTGTCTAAAAGAGAGATCTTTTCTGTGGAGAAATTAGTCAAGATCTACAATCGAGAGGTGGTGGCACGGGATGGGGTGGAAGCATTGATAGTGTCAGATTGGGATGAGCAATTTACTTCCAGCTTCTGGAAGAAATTTCATGAGGGGTTGGGTACCCGGTTGCATTTCAGTACTACATATCACCCACAGACTGACGGGTAGAGCAAGCGGATGAATCAAATGCTCGAGGACATGTTACGTGCATGTGTTATGAGCTTTGGTGGAAGTTGGAATACTTACTTACCCTTGGCTGAGTTTTCATACAACAACAACCATCACTCCAGTATTGGTATGCCTCCCTTTGAGCTTTTATATAGGAGGAGGTGCCGAACTCCCATCTTTTGGAGAGAGGTAGGGTAGAGAGTGATGAGCAGCACTAAGATAGTGCTCAAGAAGACAGAGCAGATCCATTAAGGTAGACAACGGTTACTGACGGCCCAGAGTCGTTAGAAGAGTTATGCCAACTGGCGACGTTCAGAGCTAGAGATCCAGGTCGGAGATTTTGTCCTCCTGAAGTTATCCAAATGGAAAAGGGTTATCCGATTCAGGAAGCAGGGCAAGTTGGGCCCTAGATACATCTATCCTTTCAGAGTGATCACTTGAGTCGGTAAGGTAGCTTATCGGATAGAGTTTCCTGCAGAGTTGAGCTAGATTCATAACACCTTCCATGTGTCCCAGCTGAGGAAGTGCGTCGCCGATGAGACGATAGTGGTCCCTTTAGAGGACATTCAGGTTGATGATAGCCTGAAGTACATTGAGAAGCCGATAGCGATCTTGTATAGGAAGGTGAAGATCTTGAGGAATAAAGAGGTGCCCTTGGTTTAGGTTCAGTGACAGCATCGGAAGGGATCCGAGTGGACTTGGGAGCCGGAGTCCGAGATGCGGGAGAAGTACCCAAAGTTGTTTAAACAGGATGACTTCGAGGTCCAAGTTTAATTCTAGTTGGGGAGAATTGTAACATCCCGAATCCCAGATATAATATTAAATTAATTTATATTCATGTTGTCAAAGCAGCTCGACGAGTTGGAGTCCCCAACTCGCCGAGTAGAGAGTTAAAATGGCCGCTTGATTTTTAGAGTCTACTCGATGAGTTGGAGGACCCCAACTCAACAAGTAGGAGCTGAGTATGAAAACCCTAATTTTTAGGGTTTGTACCCTATTTAAAGGACCTTAAGCCATCATTTCCGCCTCCCTTATCATCTTGACACACTGAGAGAAACCTTAATCGAGTTGTATTCATCTGTGAGAATGAGAAAGGCTAAGATTGTATGTTCTAGTGCGTTTTTGGAAGGAGATTGAAGAGAAAAAGGCTTGGAATGTGAAGAAGCCCTTGGATCTGGTGTTCTTTCAGTGCTAGCTGCTATTTGGAGGTAAAAAGTTATCACCTTGATCAATTTCGGGTTAGATCTATTCACTAAGGAGTTTATGGCCATTTCCATCTTTTCTTTGGGTCCTTAAGTGATTTGGGCATCCCATGAAGTTGAGACTTCAAATATGGACAATATGAGGTCCCTTGGGCCTAAAGATTTAAGCTTTTTCAAGCTATTTGCAACTTTTATGTATTAAACCCTCCATAGAGCTTGTTTTGGCATTTTGAGACTAGATGCCATGCATGGACGTAAAGCTTGCAGCTTTACGTGATACTTCATCCTTAAAAGGCTAGATCTAGAGTATGGGGCCTTAGTTTTTTTAAAATGCCTGGATAAGAGAATGTACTAAATGGACTCGACAAGTGGATGAGCCAACTTGACGAGTTGGTTGGGGTTTTCCCCGATAGTCTGAACATGTTACTACTCAGCATGTTGGTGAGACAACTTGGCGAGTTGAGATGGATTTTCCCCTGTTTTTTAGAAGAAACGAAGGAACTCAATGAGTTGCATAGATGCACTCGACGATTTGGGTCAACATGGACTTTTGAATCTAGCGTTGACTTTCGTTGAATTTTAGGGTTTGGCCAAATGTGCACCTCGGAGACCATGGATGGGTAAATTGGTATTTCACCCTTTTCGAGAGTTACTAGAGGGGTAGTGTAACATTCTTAGAGTTGTTATTATAAATTTTTAATTAGAGACGATTATCATATATGTAGACAGAATCTAGACCTACCATTGAGTATGAGACATACTTGCTTATTTATGAGGTGAGTCTTCTCACTATACTTACCGAAGTTGTAATAATGGGTGACCGGGGGGTCTTATATTCTTATACTAAGTTATGTGATATCATGCATCTGTCTTTGTGAATTATATTGTATATTATTGTGTGCTTTATTGAGTTTGGATCGGAGGGTCCAACCCGAGTTTTGAGACCGGAGGGTCTTCATGGAGACACATTGACTGAAGGGTCCTTATCAACATAAAGCCATGAGAGGATAATAATTTATGTTTTGTATTTAGGGGAACTAACTAAGATTCGTGCTTACATTGTCGTGTGATATGTGTTTTAGGTAACTCTCAGGACCGCGGGAAGGCGTGATCTTGATTGTACTCACCAATTATAGATTATGTTTTTGAGGATTCTAAAATATTATCAAACATTGTTGCCTTCTGTTTTGACAACTTATACATTTTTTGGCTTTGAGAAATGTAACCTTGTGTTTTATGTGATTTTAAAATTTTAAAAATTTAGAGTGTTACACTTTATTTGGTATCAGAGTAGGTTTTTTATACACTTAAGTAATCATGTCAAAAGCCATGGATATCAAAAGCCATGGATTCTCTAGAGTTCACAGACCTTGATATTCTCGATGTTGTCTATAAAGGTCTTTTCACCACTATACATCAATCATCTAGTGATGGTGCATCTGGTAGCAAGCTGAAAGGGAAATATGTTCCCGGATTCAAAATGGAAGTGAAGAGGATCCTGAATCTCGATGTTAATGTGATAACTACAATTGGTAACCCACTCCCATTTTCCATCTATAGCTTCGTTCAAAACTGCTCAACAGCTCCACCGATGATGATCACTCTATCATCTGGTTTTGAAAAAGAAAACTCCTCAGACAATGAATGTAAGTTCCTCATGGCTCATATTTTTCACCCACATAATGAAACTGATCATGACAATGTTGAGATCCTTTGCACATATCCTCCTCATGCTGAAAAGGACATGAGGTCAGAATGGGACGATGCCCAGTGTATAAGGGAAAGAATCTTGTTAATATCTACTATGTTGATAATATTGAAAAAGATGACTCAATTGATCTCTTATGTTTAAATTTATTATTCTCAAATAAAGAAAAATCGTATCTCGGTCTCAAATAAAGAAAAATCGTATATTAAAGAAGAAAACTCATTTTTTTGAAATATCTCATTCTGCTCTAAAAAAGGAAATCACTTGTATCTTACAGACCAATAATTTTCTTTACACGGAAAAATAAAAAGTTGTTGATCATGCTAATCGCACTCAATTTATTTTGAAAAATTAGGCATCTTCTCACTTTAATGTTACAAGAATCATTAATGCTCAGATTCTAGATCAATGTAAGAAAATTCATGAGGTGATATAGAAGGTGTTGTTTCGTTAACTAAAGTTATTAAGACTAAACAAACCTTTTATGAAGCCGAGTTCTTAAAGGAACACTTTAAGAGTAGATTTGTGACTTCTGATTTTATAAGTCAATCTTAATTGATACTCACTTCTCTACTCATTCTAATGACATTACCAAATGTATTTCTAAATTATCTGCTCTTGATCCATCTCACATGCCTTCTCGTCGTGATTATGATCTTCCCTCCACTAAAATTTTGCTAAAGCTTCCTACATGTAATAGCAAAGGTCATTCTATAAACGAGATTCTTAGCATGTTTCCTCAATGCTCAGTAACCAATTCTGAACCTAAAGATCAATTCAAAAATTTCACTTCTAATGACTCTTCAATGCATCATGAGCCACGTGAAAAGGTAGTATCTGATCATACCATCAATGACATCCTTTTTACTAGAACTCTCAAATTAAATTTGGCAGTTGCAAAGAAATTAAAATCTAATATTAAGGGAAATGATTATGGAATCAAAGTATATTATCGATATAGTTATGCCTCTCACAAAGTCAGTGAGTGTACTTTTGAAAAGGAATCAGTTCGCATTGAGAATATTAGAACTCGCAATGATAAGTGGATCAAAAAGGGAAACTCATTGAGTTGTCTCCCTGATAGTTGTTATAATATCTTTTAGTGAGTGACCCTTTGCAAATGCGTCAGTGTGTAGTATATGTAATTTTTGTGTTTTATGTCTTACTGTATATATTAGTTTCATGGAAAAGAGCATATTTAGTATTTAGACAGCAACTGTTAAAGGAATATGACAGGATGCAAGTCACTCTTGGAAGATTTCATAAAGAAGAATGGTCCAACAGTTACATATGGAGATAATGGCGACGGAGCTACAAGGGGATATAGATCTATTTAGTGTAATTCTGTTGTTTTCAAGAATATATCTTATGTGAAAGATCTTCAACATAATCACATTTCTATTAGCCACTATGGGACGCTGGTGATAAAGTTTTATTTAACAAGAGAGAAGGAAATGTTGTTGATCAAAAGAATGTCACTGTTTTTACTGGAAATCGACAAAACCATATTTATATTTTTGGATATGTATTCGGCTGAAAAGTCTCTTCATCGTTGTTTCTTCTCTCGTGCTCAGTCTCATCAAAATTATGTATGGCACAAGAGGCTGTCACATATGAACTTCAAGAACATTCCGAAGATTACAGGGAATCAGCTTGTAAGAGGAATTCCTAAAATGCGGTCTATGAAAGATAAGCCATGCTCAGCATGTGAAAAGGTGAAGAAAACCAAGTCTTCCTTGAAGAAAAAGTCTTGCTCCTTTATTATAAAAAATGTTTATCTCCTTCCCATGGATCTGTTTGGACATGCTCTAGTTAAGTGAAGAGCTGGGAAGAAATACACTATCTTCATTATGGATTAATTTTTAAGGTTCACATGGGTAGTCTTCTTAGGTAAGAAAAGTCATGCCACTGATGAAATCATTGCTCTTATCAAACAGTGGGATGTTCTCTATGATAAAAAAAAGTAAGGAAATTACGTAGTGATCATGGAACCGGATTTAGAAACTCCTCTCTGGAGGACTTTTGCTAAATCTCAGAAATTTCTCAGAATTTTTCTGCACTTAAAACTCCTCAACAAAATGGTATTGTAGAAAGAAGAAACATAACTCTCATTGAAGTTGGAAGAACTATGGTCGTTGAAGTTGGTCTTTCTTTGTAATTTTTGGTTGAAGCTGTTAGTACAACATCTTATACACAAGACCGGTCTATTATTGTTAAGTATCATGGGAAAGCTGCTTATAAACTACTAAAAGGAAGAAAACCGGACATCTCTTATTTTCATGTGTTTGGATGTGTTTGTTACGTATTAAAGCAAAGAGATTAGTGTTCGAACTTTGAAGCTAAAAATGATGAAGGAGTGATCCTAAATTAATCTAGTTTATCCAAGGCTTTCGAAATATTTAATCTTTCAAGGCAAATTGTTGAACAAACAGTTCATGTCACTTTTTATCAGGACTCGTTCATTCATGATCGAGTTGATCATCCATCATCAATTCTTAATGAACTTACTTAGAGTCTTTCAAACTTGTTCCTGAGCTCCTGTCAAATGACGCTAATCTTATTGTTCCCAATGTTGATTAATTAATAATTTCACAACATATCTCTAAAGATTATCATGTTATCCGCGAAGAAGTTGAACCATCCAATCAAGAAGACTCTGCCCAAAGGAATGAAAATGAAAGTTCTTATCCAAGAATCCTTCGAGATCATCCTAAATCCCAAATGACTGTAGATCTAAATTCTAGGATTCTCACTCGTATCAGAGTCAACAACAACTTCTGCAAGTTTGTAAACTTTGTCTTAATGATCGAATAAAAAATTATCGTTGATGCCTTGAAACAAGCTGTGACATCCCCATTTTCACTTCCAGAAAAGACCGACTTTGTTTATGCTTTATAAAAATCAGAGTTCTTCTTTTAATAAAAATGTTGTGGAATTTGTTCCCAGAAAAAAAAAACGATAAATACGTTATTAAAACATTTTCGAAGAAACGTATTTTATTTATTTTAAAACGTTTGGGATGTCATCGTTAATACAAAAACATAAGCATAAACAGAACTTACATTTATTTACACTAGTGATCTACATCTCTTTAAATCTCTCAGTGTAATGTCACTTCATATCGACACCTTGATATAAATAAACTGAGTGGGTCAGGTTGGGAAACCTGGTGAGTACATAGGGTTTTCAACCCACAATTATATAATTATTATGTTTAAACAATCAAACAATCAACCCAATTACCCATCCCCATTATCTTCTTTACTCTTAAGGATCTACCCTAAGAATTAGCTATTCCTCATTCATTCATTCCTAAGGATTATCCTAAGGAATCGACAAGAAATCCATCATTGCCACGGTTTATGCAATGGGCACTAAGTCTGCATAGTCGCCAGGGTTTAGGCATCAAGTCGGCATGATCACCAAGGTTTAGGCACCAAGTCTTCATGGTCACCAAGGTTTAGATACCAAGTCTGCATGGTCACCAAGGTTTAGAGTACACCGAGTGAACACATCATTCACAACACCTACAGGTTGCGAGCCTGCTAGTGTTCCACTGGACTGTCTAGAATAGTCCATGGTTGTCATCCATACTCTGCTGAATGACGGGGCCATCATTTGGGAAAAAGGCTTCTCACATCGTCCACCTCTCACCCTAACCTCGTGGTATATAACACCTCTCAACTCATCATTCAACTCATATTCCATCTATTATATCTACCCATGTTTACCCCAACATTATTGTAGATATAAAATACATATACAGTTTAAATCATTTAAAACATGTATAAAAGCGTTCATTTAGCATAGACAACAAGTACTCAGATAATATGCACACATAGCACGTAATTTATATAAAATACTTTATATCTATGTGTAAGATGAAAGTAATTATGCACTCACCTGAAAGGTGGTGACTTAAGCACTCGGACACCACTTCGATACTCTCAAAACAATTTCTTTCGATAATACCTAGTATCAACACCACTAGGGTTTAGTCTAACGATAACCGCGACTAATTAATAGTCTAGATATTATTATTATTATTATATAAGCGTTAAATAACACTCAATATAACTCATAATAATAGCCCAAATAATTATTTTAAAAACCTAATAACATTACTATATTGAAACATAAGCTACGCTAAAGATAGGGTAGACGTAGCTCACTTACAGCGGGTTTTCTCGAAAACCGGGCTTCACTGGAGCAGCGTTTCCGAGCCGAAAGACCCTTTTTCTTGGGACTTCGGGAGCCTCGGGGCTTCCTTCGGGTGCTAGGGGGTTTACCTAGGCTTTAGGGGGGGGGGGGTTTGGGAGGCTAGAGAGAGCAACTAGAGAGAGAAAGAAGGTTTGGGAGGTGTGAAGAAGAGGCTAGACCCGTCACCTCTATTTATAGTGAAAAAATCTGATGGACTCATTGAGTAGGGGGACCTACTCACCAAGTTGGTGCATGTGGTGGCCTTCTGGTGGTGCCACGTGTCCAATTCTGGTGGTGCCACGTCACCCCCTATCGCGTATCAGCCTTCAAACTTAGAAAAATCATAAGTCTCGCATAAGAGCTCCGTTTTTTACGTTATTTTTTGCAACGCGTAGGTAAAATCAAGATCTACAACTTTCATTAAGACTCCATCAGCTAATTCTCGACCGATCTCAAATTTAACAGTAGGAGGTGTTTAGAGTGTTAAATGACCGCGAAGAATTCGTAACTCCTTCATACGGACTCCGTTTTCGTCTGTATTATTACCGTTGAGTTCATATTAATGAGATCTTCAACTCTTATTTAGGTCACGTAAGCCAAAAACCGCTCGAACTAAAATTCGAGTTTCGGGTCGTGCACTACTAAGCCGAATCTTTGAAAAATCATAACTTCCTCATACGAAGTCAGATTTGAGCGTTCTTTTTATCGACGCTCTTAGTTTAACATATTATATGACTTTCATTTAGATTTATAAGGCTAAAAGTTGCTCCATCGTAAATTTACTATTTACTCTTCCCGTTGTCGTGCCACTTTTGCCATAAAACTTCGACGGGTCATAACTTCTTCGTTATAACTCGGATTTTGGCATTCTTTATATGTACGGAAACCTTGAGACATATTCTACAACTTGATTAAGATTATTTATTCTAAATAATCTTTTGTCG